CGTTCTGGGAGTCCCATTTTGGTTGGTAGGTGAACTCACCACCCATTTCAGTCTAGTTTGGTGGGGGTTGGGATGGTCACTGGGGGTACGGGATGTTGACCCATGGCCATTTGGTAAGACATTTGTTGGACTGGACAACTTTTTCGTTGAAACAGCTGTGATTTTCCGACTTGGACCGCACTTTTTTGTGTGCCCCAACAGCTGAAAGCGGTGGGGTCTCAGCCCAGATGGGCCCTGGTGCTGTTGGGCATATCACCTGAGCGTATTTTGGTTTCCGCCGCGGGGTCGCTACCTGGCAAGCTGGTGCCAAGCCTGGACAACTTTTCGTTTTGACTGGACAACTTTTTGGCTGACACAAATTGGATTTTCCGTTTTGGACCCACAAAAAGTCGAACATTCCCACTTTTCGCGTAGCAGGGTCGTTGCTTGGCCAAGCCACGCCAAGCCACGCCAGGCTTCTCGGCGCTGAACAAGCTCTTGGGCAAGAACGTCTACAGCTCCCAGGACCAGCTGGGTGGGCCGCAGGTGATGGTGCCCAATGGCATCACCCACCAGGCGTGAGCGGTGAGAATCAGTTCCCAGTTTCCCACACGACTTGGGTAGATTTACCAGCTGTTCTTTTGTTTTTGTTTTCTTGACGGTTGGGGGGAGGAGGAGGGGGGGGTAGTACCAGTTTGTTTCTTTTAAAGCGCAACTTTGTGACAATGTAGAAGTCAGGTGAAGCAGGGGCTTCTGGCCTTGGGGCTGCCCTGGCGGCCCCCCAAACATACGCCGAGGGTTTTTAAGGGTTAGAGCAAGCCTTAGGGGGAGCTGAGAAGCACACATGGCCAAATAAGGACGCAACCTTTGGGGGATTGGGATGAGAGTCCCGGAGGCAATTCGCAGCGTCACTTGGGTTACGAACGGAAATCAGGTCGCCTTTGCTGCGAATTCCCAATAACATATTTCAGCCTTGCCTGCGTGCTTGCGTGCTTGCGTGCCTGCGTGCCTGCGTGCCTGCATGCCTGCGTGCCTGCGGCCATGCAAGTTTGCAAAAGTGTCAGTGTGTAAGTTTGGAAGTGTGATTTTGAGGGTGCCCGTTTCAGAATGGTTTAAAGGGAAACCAACAGGAAACCCAGAATTGTTTGGGGTTACACATGCCCACTGATTATGGGGGCAATTACCCGTTCATGTCCTGCAGGTGGTGAACGACGACACCGAGGGTGTTGGGGCAATTTTGGACTGGCTGCACCTCAGCGAGACGGGTCGCGTTGCGGGGAGCACCTCCACAATAGCCCTGGGCCCCTATCAGAACTGCTGTGGAAGAACCGGGGGGGTTGGTTTTCTCCTTACTGAAGCTCATTTTAGCTTATGAGTTGGGACATCGTCTGAAACCACCATGTGCGATCCCCAAAACGGGGGCACCCTCAAAAATTCGAACCGGCTGCAGGTCCTACGTGCCGAAGGACGCCTACTGCACCCCGCCCATCATCGACCCCGTGGACTCCATCTCGCGAGACGTGACCTTCACGCCCTCCAAGACGCCCTACGACCCCAGGCACATGCTGGCAGGCGCGGGGCGCGGAGTTGGGAACGGTCCCTAGGGTTGAAGTGGCTTTTGGTTGGTGAACAGCCATCCCCCCAATTCTGACCGAAGGGTTCTGCGAGTTTTTGCCTTTTTTTTTTTTTTTGTTTTTTTTGGGGGGCGGTGGAGAGGGAATTATACTTGGTTCCCAGCCCGCCGGTCCCTTAGGTTTTTGGTGGTTCGCAGTTGGTTTAGTGGGTGGAGGTGTCTGAATTGTACACACAAGTTATCAGCCCAGCTTCTGATTGTTTTCTGACAGAAAGGCATTGCTCAGAAACATTGGGGATGCTGTCTACAAGAAGCGATTCCCGTACGACAAGCCGTTGCTTTCCCTTTTACAACCAAGGGTGGCCTCAAAGAGGCACTTTTTGCGAAATATGAGGCCCCCTGTTTCAGGTCTCGTTTAAGGTGTGGGCACGCTGGCCTAAAAGCGGCGAGAGAGAGAGAGAGAGAGAGACTGCTTGCGTTCTCCCGTTGTTTGTAGTTGTGTCGTGTTGTGTTCGGTTGTTTGTTGATTGTGCTTGTTTGATTGTTTTGCTTGCGGTTCGTGGTGGCTGGTTGTTATATATTTGTGCTGTGTGTGTGTATAAAACGTGTGTGTGTGTGTGTTCTATAAATTTGTTTGTGTGTTTTGTTTGCTGCTCTGTGTTTGTTTGCTTGCTCGCTTGCTCGCTCGCTTGTTTGTTTGTTTGTTTGTTTGTTTGTTTGTCTGTTTGTCTGTTTGCTTCTTTGCTTGTTTGCTTCTGTGTTTGGTTTCTTTGTTTGCTCGTTTGCCGTATAACTTGCTTTGTTTGTCTTGTCCGATTGCCTAGTTGGTTTTGTGCTGGGTTCCAACGTGGCGGTTCCGCCGGGCTGGGCATGACGAGTTTGGCGGTCGGTGTCGCCCCAGGGCATCAGATGAACCAACCACATGGAGTGCACAGGAACTTCAGTGACCGATATGAAGCCTCAAACAAGGACAAATGAGTGGCAAATGGAGGATCAAAACTGCGGAAAATAATTTTGGACCTCCAGAACGAAAGCACAACACCAAAAAGTGAACGAAGCCCCGAAAGCAACGGTAGGAAAGAACGGGTTCCGAAGGGTCAACATTTTATGACATCCAACATTAGGTGCAACATGACATCCCGTTTTTGTGGACCCCCCCTGAAAAGGCTTACCCAAAGCTGACCCCATTTTTTCGGGGGATCCCCCCCCGGCCCCAGAAAAAGAAAAAGAGGCCACCGCCCCAAGCGCCGGGGCCTGGTGCTGACCTCCTGACCTCCTGCCCCGCCGCGATTTTTTGGCGAGGCACGCAGTCGGAGGGAGGGAAGCTGACCGGCTTCTTCGACGAGGGGAGCTTCAAGGAGCTCCCCGGCTACGAGTTTCGAATTTCACGTGGGGCTTACGCGACGAGAGGCGAGAGGCTCGAGCGGTTCCACCAGTGGACGGCTTTGTTGGGCTTGGGGTTGCCCCAAAACGCCCCGGTGGAGGAATCTTCGAATCGGCCGTGCGGGGCGTTTTTTTTTTTTTTTGGGGGGGGGGGGGTGGGAGTCAGGGGAGTAGATGGCACAATCCCAATCCATGTCGATTTGGTCATCCCACTGACCCAATGTTACGAAATAATGATGCTAAGCGACACCCACCCACTACCCGTAACACGGAAGACCATTTCCTCTATTTGGTTCAAATCTGGGGTAAACCCTAGGGCTAGGTCCCGCACAGTAGTGCCCTTTCTCACCCCTTTTGGGGTTGGGAGAGTTTTCCTACTAACATCGACTACAGAAAAAAGTTGGTACCAACTTATTCTAACCTCTCAAATCTGGAGGACCTAGTATATACATATATAGTTTTTCACTGGGGGCCAAAAGTCGGAGCTTGCGATCGGATGGTTGTCTGGTTCCTTTTAGTTGACACCATTGCCATTTTAGGGGAGCCCACCTTTCAAATCTGGGGTGAACCCTGTCTCAACTGAGGTATTTGCCCGGGTGGGGCAAGAGTGTGGTGGTGGGCCGAGCCAAGCTGGGCGGAGTGCCCATGGGGGTCATCGCAGTGGAGACCAGCCCCGTGGACGGCGAAAGGGGGTGGGGTTGGGGTGGGGTGGGGGTGGGGGTGGGGTTGGGTGAGGTGAGGTGGGGTTGGGGTGGGGTTGAGGTGGGGTTGGGGTGGGGTTGGTTGGGTGTGGGGGGGGTTGGTGTGCAAATGTGTGGGGATGCGGCTTTTGTTCCCACTCCTGTGATACCAGAAAACCTCCCGTTGTCACGATTTAGCTATTGGTCAGGCAGTTCCAACAGACTTCGGAGCTGTGGCAACGTGTGCTTGAACACAGGTACCTCGGTCCCCCTAGCAGGGAAACCAAAAGGAGCATGAGCAGTTTAGATGGGGTCCCTTGGTTCATGCCTCCCGAGATGGCCCAGCGAGCAGCCTGCGGATGGTTGACCTGCCTATTTTCCGCCAGCACCGTTTTGGGGGGGGGGGGGGGGTAAAACGAACGATAACCCATTACCCACCCATGATATAGGATTTGTTGCTTTTCCGAGTTGACACACCCATTAAAATGTAGGATGATGTTGCTTTTTCCGAGTTGAAATTATTGTAAATATTGCAGATTCACGCCGAGGGCAAAAGATCATATAGCGTTGGGGTCCCCCCCTTCTGGCCCAATGACCCACCCCTGAAATTTCCGCAGTCCAAGGAAGCATGGATCGCAAGATCCCGGCGGACCCCGCAAACCCGGAGAGTCAGGAGGTGGTGGAGCCGCAAGCAGGGCAGGCGCCACTAACTTGCGAGGGGCTGGGGCATTGGGGGGGGGGCGGGGGGCCGCGCGGGTGAGAGGTGGGGTTGAGGGGTGGGGTGGGGCTTACGGGAAGTCTAAGCTGCAGGGCTGGCTTGTGGGGCATGAGGTCAAGTATTTTTCCACCCGGCGACTCACTGGTTGCAACTGAGGGTCCCTCAGTGTCGCTGGCACGTGGTATTTAGGATCTGAACCAAACTGAAACCAGCGGATCCTTCTATCTTCAGCCGAGACCATTGCTTTTCCTACCATAGTTTGGTTTGTTTCATTTCTTTTCAACCACACCATCACCTCAAACACATCCGTCCGAAGACGGAGACAAACCCAAACTGCAGGTGCGTGTGTGTGGAGCAACTGAAAAGACACCTTTGGGCACCCCGTGTTGCCCAAAAGATCCCAAAAGGGTCCCCTTCTTTCCAGAAGGGTATGTCAATCCCGCAAAAGGGGCGGTGTCCCTTTGGTTTCATTTCGAAGCAGCGTCAAACCAATCCCAACTTGTGAATCCAACTCGTTGCGAGTCGGTTTGTAAAATGAGCGACCTTTGCACATCGGAGAGCCTGTCAGGTACTCCCAAGAAAGTTGGCGGTTTGTAGAGCCAGTGACCCGTTTTGGATGGGTGCTTGGATTTGAACTCATGCTTCTTGTAGAGGGTCACCGGGGTTTTACCACCCCTAATCACACCACCGGGCTCCAAACCACCCTTTTTCGTGGAAAGCTGAGTTTCACAAACCCGGCGACCGGCCGATTTTTGCCACCGACCGATGCAGGTCTGGTTCCCGGACAGCGCCTTCAAGACCGCCACGGCCATCCGGGACTTCAACCGCGGGGAGAATCTGCCGCTGATGATCTTCGCCAACTGGCGAGGCTTCTCAGGCGGCTGATCGGACGGATTCCTACGGGTTCAATCTAGAAAGCGGTTTAGATTTCCGTTTTCCCAAAAGCATCGCGAAGGGTTCTTCCGTGCGGAGCCTTGGACAAGTTACACAGAGCCAAGTTGCACAGAGCCAAGTTGCACAGAGCCAAGTTACATAGAGCCAAGTTACATAGAGCCAAGTTACATAGAGCCAAGTTACATAGAGCCAAGTTACATAGAGCCAAGATACATAGAGCCAAGTTACATAGAGCCAAGTTACATAGAGCCAAGTTACATAGAGCCAAGTTACATAGAGCCAAGTTACATAGAGCCAAGTTACATAGAGCCAAGTTACATAGAGCCAAGTTACAGAGCCAAGTTACATAGAGCCAAGTTACAGAGCCAAGTTAGAGCCAAGTTACATAGAGCCAAGTTACATAGAGCCAAGTTACATAGAGCCAAGTTACATAGAGCCAAGTTACATAGAGCCAAGTTACATAGAGTAGAGCTTGCGTAGAGCTTCGGCGTAAGCAGCTATGTAAGTTAGTTTGGGTTTCTAAGGCGCCGGGGCGGGAGTTTGATCGTCGCTCGGGATTGCGACCCTCTGCGGAGATTCGCGTGGTCGAGGTCAAAAAACTGCGGGATTCGCGTGGTCGAGGTTCAAAAACAATTTTTACGATTTCTGCGCCGCGCGCGACCCTCTGCGGAGATTCGCGTGGTCGAGGTTCAAAAACTGAGGACTTTTTACGATTTCTGCGGTCCGCGCGCGACCCTCTGCGGAGATCGTGCGCGTCGAAGCGCTCTCGCTGTGGCGCCGTGCGAATTTGTCTTAGTCTCGGCGAACCCTCTGCGGAGATTGTGCGTGTCGAAGCGCTCTCGCTGTGGCGCCGTGCAATTTTCTTGCTCGCGAAACGGCCTTTGGAAGTTGTCTCGTGGTTTGCGCGCCTGCTTTCGCAATCCCGCGGTCGCGGGCTCGATTCCCCCCTGGTCCGCGGCAGCTCCGGCTTGAAAATCGCAGCTTTTAAGTACAAACGTAGTACGCGGATCGTGCTCCTGCAGCGCAACTTTTAAGTACAGACGCAGAACATGCGAGCGTGCTCCCGCAGCTCAGGCTGGAAAATCGCAACTTTTAAGTACAAACGTAGTACGTGGAGCACACCCTCGCAGCTCCGGCTTGAAAATCGCAACGTAGCACGCGGACCGTACTCCTACAGCTCCGGCTGGAAAATCGCAACTTGTAAGTACAGACGTAGTATGCGGAGCGTGCTCCCGCAGCTCAGGCTGAAAAATCGCAACTTTTAAGTGCAAACGTAGTACGCGGAGCACACCCCCGCAGCTCCGGCTGGAAAATCGCAACTTTTCAGTACAAAAATAGTACGCGAAGTACATTCCCACAGCTCCGGCAGCACTTGCGCAGAGCAACTTGCGCAGAGTCACTTGCGCAGAGCAACTTGCGCAGAGCAACTTGCACAGAGCAATTGCACAAAGCCTTGCGCAGAGCAACTTGCACAGACCAACTTGCACAGAGCACATGCGCAAAGCGCTTGCACGGAGCAACTGGCGCAGAGCACTGGCGCAGAGCAACTTGCTCAGAGCACTTGCGCAGAGCAACTTGCACAGAGCACATGCGCAAAGCGCTTGCACGGAGCAACTGGCGCAGAGCAACTTGCACAGACCAACTTGCACAGAGCACATGCGCAAAGCGCTTGCGCGGAGCAACTGGCGCAGAGCACTTGCGCAGAGCAACTTGCTCAGAGCACTTGCGCAGAGCAACTTGCACAGAGCACTTGCGTGCAGCAGCGTGCAGCAGCTTGCAGAGAGCAACTTGCGCGCAGCAGCCTGGAACAATGCAGCTTGCGCAGACCACTTTCGTGAGAAATCGCGCGGCGCAGTTCGAGAGGAAAGTAGGATGATGACACACTGAGCATCGCCGCGCGCAGACACGCTCGCTGCAGCGATGTAAAACGGTGTCTCCGCGGCTGGATGAGCGCCTGTGGAAAAATGCTTTCGGGCCAATCGTCCTCTAGTTTTTTGGTTCGCCCCCCATGTAGATCATGTTTAGTACTCTTTTAGTACTCTTTTAATACTGTGACGGGAGTGGATCCACAAAAACCGTATCCAATTCGTTTCTTGAATCAGCCATTGCCAGAGGTCCTTGGACTATGGCGTCCTTGTATGTGTATGTGTTTTTTTGGGGGGGCCCTTTTCGCTTGGTTTAAAGGGAAACCAACAAGAACATGTTCCTGGTCGCATGTGGGCTTGGGGTCCAGCTCTATTCCCCCTAAGCCGGTGTAGATGATTAAGTAGCCTGCATGGAAATTGCTTGATTCGAGTTCGCATTTGGTGTCAGGTAACCCGCCAGGTTCGTGGTTTAGATTGGTGGCTTGGCTTTGGATTTGAACCCCTACGTGTCGTGGATGGCAAATGGGAAACCCGCGCTGACCAATCCACTGGCCCAAAGACGACCTTTTGAGCTTTTGCTTCCATTCATCGAGGCTCGCAAGAATAGAGTTGCAGTCCTTGGGCTTGGGTCACTTTTGAGTAGACCCCAGCCGCAGACCTCAAGCTCGAAGCTTTTTGGGGCCATTCCACCCAACTGAGGCTTGAGCTAGGCAGTCTCAGGTAAAACACACCCCACTAACACCAGGGACACCCCCATATTTATAAACAGAGGTTTATTAAAAGGGGGTGTTCATTATGGTGGGTGCTCTCTCTGCGTGAGGCGGGACCCGAGACATGTACCAGGAGGTGCTGAAGTTCGGCGCCCAGATCGTGGACGCCCTGGTGGAGTACAAGAGCCCGGTCTTCGTGTACATCCCCCCCGGCGGGGAGCTGCGAGGGGGGTCCTGGGTGGTCATTGACCCCACCATCAACCCGGAGCAGATGGCGCCCTGGCGAGAGCGACCAATTCCCCCAGCAATTGGTGCCAACTTTTTCCGGTTCAATTTTTCGGCTGGGAGGGTTCCCCTACTAAAATAGACTACAAACAAGTTGGTACCCTTATTCGAACCTCCCCAATGGAGGACCTAGCAGAGCTTCAGAGCTGAGAGAAATTTCAACAGAGCGGTTGGCAACGGGCATCCAGAGGATAGAGGCACAAGCAGCAGCATCACACCAATGGGCTAGACAAGGTGGCTCTTGCCAGACAAGCCGGGGCTGTTCTTTTTTTGCGGAAGGGGTGGCATGTTTTATTTGTTAATGGGGACAAGCATGCGATCAGCGATTTGTTGATGTAAGGGCTTGAAGAAGTACCAATAGTTTACTTTGAGAATCATGACTAAGTTTGTTGTAGGATCCCAAACCTTGTTCTAATTCTTTAGGCCCTATGTTACTTTGGGGATGCAGCTACTTTAGCTCGAGCGGGTCCAACAGCGAACTGGGACTGCCTAGTTCGAGCAACTGGGACCGCCCGCAAATTGTGCTGGATGCTCATTCAGGCGCCGAGCTTTGGCGCGGACCTTTCCTGAATTTGATGGTACCTCCTGCCAGCCCTGCTTTTCTTGCCAGTTTCTGTAGCTGTGAAGTTCTTTCACACGACACGGGGGGTTGTCAGGTGTGGAGTTTTTCATTTTCCAATTGTGGGCACACTCTAGTACTTGACATGTGTCAAGGCAAGCATAATTCGGAGATGGGAGGCTTTCCAACATATTTGCCGCTCGCTTTGCACTTTTTTGGAAGACTATTTTAGTGGCAAGCAAGTTGTTTGTTTGCCTTTTCTGGGCCAATGTTTTATGGAAGTGACAATGCTACCCTCCCCTCAGTTGTTCAAAGCGAATCGACCTTTCGACCTTTTGGTTTTCATATTTTGGGTTCCCATATTTAGTCCTGGCAACCCAACAGGTGATCACCTTTTAGTTCCGGGTCCCATAGGGGCAACTGAGTCCCACCAATCAATCCCGGTCCGACGGGTTCGCGCTGAGGAGATGTATGCGGACGTGGAGTCCCGGGGCGGTATCCTGGAGCCGCCTGGCATCGTGGAGGCGCTCGGGTCGAAATGTCTCAGGACAGAAATAATATCTCATATTTTTTACAGAAATGTCTCATGTTTTTTTGCTTTTTTCTGTTTCCCTGCTGGTGCAATAGGTAGGGAATGACCCATGTAGACCAAATCCCGTATGGTTTCGCCGGGAGGAATGACCATCATGTACACCATCCAACTTTCCTGTATTGGGGAATCCCAAGACGGTTCATTCCCAACACCCGGAAGGTCATTCCCTGTCGCACGAGCAGGTTGTTCTGCTCTGAGAGCACTTCAGGGGAAAATGCCAGGCACAAATCAAGGAGCATGTTTGGTTTTCGCATGGGATGGGAACGGAAACGCAGCAAAGGCTATGTGTGACCCTGAGTCGGCTTGCTGGTTCTGATGAAACGCGGAAAAATCGGGAAGACGGGCGATGTGTGACGAGTCGGTTGGGTCTGGTTCTGATTCCTTCCCTTGTGACTGGGAGGTCGCCTCGTCGCCTCCTCAGAGGTGCAGGTGGCCAAGGGATGTTAGGACTTTTTCTCATTTTTTGCCAACGGATGGGTTTTCCGAATTTTTCACCACTAAAAGTTAAAAAAGGAACAAAAAAGAAAGAAGAATAGCAGGAGAGCAGAAAGCAACCCTTGGTCCTGGTTGCTCAAAGAGCCCCCGCTTTTTCGCCCCGCGAGGTGAAGTTCCGGGCGGCGCAGCAGAAGGAGATGATGCACCGCCTGGATCCGGATTTGCGGAAGTTGGACGCGATGCTGGAGGCGAAAAATGCGCTGTGGTGGTCAAAACCGTTCTGGGATCCCATTTTGGAGGTGTAATTACCACCCATGTTAGAACCTATTTTAGTGGGGATTGGGATGTTCACGGGGGGTAGGTATGGGATTTTGACCCATGGCCAAATGAGTCAGCTATAGGGCTCCCGATATGGGTGTGGGTCGAAACGAAACCACCAGGGGGCCGCAGATTTTGGTCCTTGGTTCCATTTACCAGGGTTCTAATTTGGGTACCCCATTTTTGACCCACAGCCATGTATTTCCCTCTCAGTTGCCCAACAGCGAGTCGACCTTTTGACCCTTGATTTCCAATCTTGGCACATCTTTTCTCAAGGTTTCAGGTGAACCTTTCATTTTCAGGTCCCTCGGGCGGGTTTCTTCTTATGGGATGGTTGATCACCTTTTGGGACTCATGAACAACGATTTCCCTTTGGGGTGATGTTTGAGGGGGAATACAGGAAACCTTGAGTCGGAGCGATTGCCTCATGGCAATCGCAGCATATCTCTTGGGAGCCCTGGTGTCCATACTTGTTTAAACAAGCATGTCGCATCGTGTTTGAATGCGATACACTTGCTGGTCAGGCAGATGTACTTTGAAGTTAGTACTCCTATAGTTTCTGTTGGCATCTGGCTTTCCATTTGTTTGCCTTTCTGGCTTATCTTCATCTTTATCTATCTGTCTGTTTGTCTACTTCGCCGCCTGCCTACCCATCTACCTAGCTACCTATCTGCCTACCTACCTCCTAATCTATCTATCTATCTATCTATCTGTCTATCTATCTAATTAATCTAATCTAATCTAATCTAATCTAATCTAATCTAATCTAATCTAATCTAATCTATCTATCTATCTATCTATCTATCTATCTATCACCCTATCTGTCTATCTTTGTGTGCATCCGTCTGTTTATCTATCGGTCTATATACCGACCTTTCCATTCGTACTCGCTGGGTGGCAATGTAGCTAGGTAGCTAGGTGGCTGGGTAGCTAGGGGCTGGGCAGCTAGCTATGGATGGCCGGATGGACGGACGGAGAAAGAGAGACAGACAACCTACTGCCTAGCTACCCAGCTACCCACCTTCCCACCTACCCGCCTACCTAAACCCATCATCAAACCAAGTCCAACACATGAAACATCCAACTCCAACTCTGGTTTCTCCCAAAACAAGCCCAAAAATGCTGGGCCTTGGTTTCTCCGTTTTTTCCTTTTGCCCACCTGCAGCCACCTGCGCCACCGCGGACCACCCGCGCCACCGCGGGCCACCCGCTCGCCGCGCCACCTCAAGCGGAGCCAAGCGCCAGGAGTCCTCCTCCTCGGAGGTGGGCAGTGTGGCGGCGGACGTGGAGGCGCAGATCAAGGCACGGGAGGAGCGCTGGTTGGTGGGGGGAGGGGGCCTGGGGGGGGGAGGAGGGCGGGGCGGGGGCTGGTGGGGGGGGGGGGTGGCTGGGGCCGGGGGGGAGGTGGGAGGGGGTGTGGGGGGATGGGGGGTTTGGGGGGTCGTAGTTAGTGGGCACTACCATCGAAGAGCTGAAAACCTACCAGGATGGCTGGGAACCATCAGCACAATTCAGGTTAAATCCGAAGCTCGGCACTCAGGCCGGCTGTGGGGTAGATGGATGGTGGCCTACGCATTGGGAAAAGTCCCTCTGTTGAAGGAAGGGACCTCCATTGAAAGGTGACCCTCCATGGAAGGGCCGCCGTTTGACGCGTAGGGTGTGGCCTCCAGTTCAGAGACAGACCAAGAATCCTTTTGTGGTCATGGTCACGGTTGGTCACGGTTGGTCATGGTTGATGGGTGGAGGCGATGTGGGGGTGCAAATGTTAACCCCGGCCCTGATGAGCTGCTGGTTGGTTGGTAGGATTTTGGTTGTCAGCTTATGGATTTATAAGAGGGAGGTGTCCCCTTTTTGCGGCAATCCTTCATCAATTCGTCGGGGGGGGGGGTGGAAAACAGTCCATGTGGGACCATGACTGTAATTCGCATGGTGGTAGCTGGGATTGCTGGATTCAGGAAGATGTTTGGCTAGGGTCCCAGTGCATCCCACCCTCTCACCCCTCCCACCCCCCGAAGAACAACTCTGCGAGGAGAAGCTGGCGCCCTTGTACACTCAGATCGCCTGCGAGTTTGCCGACTTGCATGATCGCACCGGGCGCATGGAAGCCATGGGCGTGATCCGCAAGGCCCAAAACCGCCCGATTCGGCCGCAAACCCGGGCGGTGGCCAGAGGTGTCTGCAGAGCGTTGGGTTTATGCATTTTTCAGGCCGCCAGTTTTTTTTTTTTTTTGGGAGGGGTCCAAGGGAAACAGAAAGAAAGGGGTTCGGCTCTAAGATAATTTCCACTGCCAGAGGGAAACAGGCAAGGGAACTACCTGTTCTTTGTGACAATGTAGAGGTTTGGGGCTTCTGGGAGCGCCCAGGGCGAATCGATATCTGATCTTTTGGCTGTCCCTTTCGAGAACCATGTGGGCGTGGTTCTTTTCCAATGTTGAGGCTTAATAAGCCGTTCTGTCAGATTGCATGTTAATCGGTGGGAGGCGAACCTTCTGGAACTACACCAAAATTTAAAGACTAAACACATGTTTCATTACGTCGATTCGCTTTGGGCAAGTGAGTAATGAGAACCCTGGATCAAGACCTAGAGCCCCTGGTTGATCTGTAGGCAGGTGTCCCCCGTGAGATGTGGGGACTCAGACCACTTTGGAGACATGGTGAAGTGGTGGGTCAGGTATTTCCAGGTCAAGGGGTGCGTCTCATCAGAGCTTGCGCCAGGGCTTGGAGTGGCGCCGCGCCAGAGAGTTCTTCTACTGGAGGGTGCGGTGCCGCCTGCTCCTGAAGGCGCCTCGGGCCTCGAGTTTCGAGCCGCATCGACTGGCGCTTCCGCCGCGCCTGGCGGAAAAGTGCCGTGCCTGGCCCTTCTCCGGCAAAGCCGGCTTGAAGAGGGCGTGTTCTCGAGAAACACGAGAAGGGCACCCTGACAGGCTCGTCTCGAACCTCAAAACCTGGAACAAATACTGGTAGCATCAACAAGGGGTGCAAGGAAGGCGGGCGAGCTACCGCTGAAGTGAGATCTCGAGCCATCCGGGTCCTTGGGCTTATTTCAGTTGGATTTTGGAGTGCCAGCGACGAAGACCGGCTCTTCCAAGTTTGGTCCATGTTTTTTTTTTCCAGATCCCCAAAACGGCAAGTGAGAACACGTGCGGATCCTTTGTCAAGAAAGTCGTGTTGCAAACGGGGGCCGGGGTATCAAAACCACTCTTGGAACCAGTGAAACGTACAGCCCAACTCGGAGACCGAGTTTGTTGTCACTTTAATTCCCGTGCACGTGGGAATTGGTGAGGCTTCTGTGGCCCCGTTTCTAAATGCCGGTGCATTTGAGCCATGGGAGCGGCCTCAGACGGCCTCAGAACCGTTTTGGTTGGTGTGGAAGGGGGCACCGGAAGCACATCAGCCTATTGGGGTTTCGGATCTTGAGCAGCTCCTTTCGAGGGTCGCACCAGAGGAGCCCCAGATGTAGAGGAGGTTCAGATTGGTACATTCGGTGGCCCTTCCGGTGATCCTGGGCTGGATGGGTGGTTTGAATTTGAATTTCAACGCCTGGTTCTGTAGAGGGTAAATAGGGTTTTCCACCGGAACAGCTCCAAAACAGCAGTTGGGAAGCTTACCTCAGTTGGCCAAAGCCGACCATTTTTAGTAGAGGTACCAAAAGGTTAACCTTTTAGTTCTGGGTCCTTTGGGCAACTGAGTTACTGGTAAACCCCAGTTGGTTTGGATTGGTGGTTTGCAATTGGATTTGAAGCCCTAGAAGCATGGGAAACCAGCGGTTGAGAAGCCTGCGCCCGGATTGATTCGATCGGATAGATTCGGAAACCGCCCAACTGGCAGGAAGTGGAGGACCAGATCCGACTGGCGGACGCGGATTTGTCTGCTCAGGCGATTTCGGGTTTTGTGGGGGTCTTTGGGGGTTTGGGGGGGGGGGTCTCGGGGGGGTGGGGCAAATCGTAGCAGTGAGTGACGGTCAAGCCTGGCCTGGGGCTTGATCCATGTTTGGCCTTTTCCGCCGAATTTGTCATGCACATGCGGCACACTCACACACACACATATATATATAAATTATACATGTGTGTGTTATGTAAAGGTGTACATATGTATTTAAGTGACACGTTTTTTGCGTTTGGGTAGAAGACACATGACGCAGAGTCTTGCCCCACAATTTTTGTCGATTTCTCGATGTCAAGGGCTGAGACTCGATCCGCAGCGGCGCAACCAGCGGGTTTTTTCGGGCTGAACGCCTGGAAAAAGGTGGCCGGGGAACACGCATGTCCAGCAAAAGGATGTCTCACTCCTCATATCTCCTCATGGAGTTTCCGGACTTCCATGTTTTTTGAGAAGATTAAGGTAAATCTGGCAAGCAACCGACTTTTTCTGGGTTTATCCACTCAGGAAGTGAGATGTCCACCAAGCAGCCATTCAGCCCTGCCCCCCAAAGACAATTCTGGAAAGGCGACATCACCGGGTGTCCTGTGTTTTCCCAGCCTCTTTTCGCTGACTTATGTCATGTTTTTATTTCACAGGGTCTATCATTTGGGTTCTGATTCTACAGGGTCTGCAAGGTGTCGCTGGCTCTTATTCTCGCAAGTATGGTTGTATCCCCCCTACTTGGATCTTTGTTGACATCAGTTTGTTCAGGCTGACACTGCCTATGGCCAGGGTCAAGCACGTCACTTTTAGCTTGGCCAAAGAAGCTGGGGAAGTTGTACCACCCCCCCTCCCCAACCCACCCACCCCACCCCATGGTCAAGGCACCCTTGGGCTTGGTACGGGCAGCCATGGACCCCACATATTTAGGTTGCTCTTGTCTTTCCAGTTCTCAGCAGGTTCACAAAGTTTCTCAAAATGGAGGCCCCTCCCCTTTTGGTTGGGATGCAAAGGGAAACGACACGCCAAAGAAACTAGCAATTCTAAGGGCCCACTATTTGGAGATGGGACCCCCCCCCAACCAAGCCAAAGCACATTTTTTTCGATGGAAGCTGAAGATGTGGAGGGTTGACAAAAATACACCCTAAACTAAACCTACCCCAAACCCACGCAAGCCGACCATCTATTTTGAGAAACCCCCAAAGAGCAAAGACTTCCATTTGCTTAAGACTTGTTTTCCCCCCAGGTTGTTGAGGGAATCTATGACTCCTGAAGATAGTTGCTAGTTTTTTTTTCTCCAGGGGAGGACTTCAGCCAATTGGAACCGGGTCCTCCCCGGCGTTTTTTGCTTTTTTCTTCTGCCAGGCCGCCCAGGCGTTGTTGGCCGGCTGGGTGTCCGAGGCGCTCGGATTTTTCGATTTCGGGCGGTTGGGGAGTCGGTTTAGGGCGCTTTGGTGGCGGAGCTGTGGACGTGTTTCCTGGTTGTTGGTTGGAACAGCTCGGATTTTTTTTGTATTGGGACCCACTGGGTTCAAGACTTTTTTACGGAGGGGGTGGACAGCAACCAAGATGAGCACCCTGGTTCTCAAGTTGGGTGGGACTTAAGCGGGGGGTTTCTCTCTCTCTCTCTCTTTCTCTCTGTGTGCTTGCAGAGTCAGAAGAATAGCATTGCTTTTAAATCATGAAGAGCTCACTGATTCGGAGTACAGCGAGAGGGATCCATGTTCTTTGTGTCATCAATGCGCCAGTGTTAAAGTAGATGCGCAACTCCGTTTTTTTTTTTTTTTTGTTTTTTTTTTTTTTTTTTCGGCTTTGTCGTTTTCCGGGTTCTGTTCATTTTTGCCACAATGAGACCCTTTCTTGATGAACCCCCCTCAGGAGAAAGGTGATCCCGCCTCCCCCTACAGAGGATCTTGATTTGGGGGAGGCCCTTTTGGGAAGTCAAGAATCGATCCCCCAGCTCACTTCAGTGGGAAGTTCCCTGGAATCAATCCACTAAAGACCCAAAGGCCCAGGTTGGAAACAGCTGAAGGGAATGCCTGTTGAATAATCCCTTTCTATTGTTAGATCCCCCTCCCGCCCTCCAAACAGAAGAACACATATGTAGCAATAGGGGTGGATGTTTCATGGGGGGAGCGGACTAGAACTCGCCACTCGAACTTTTGGTGCCAACAAAGTAGAACATCTAGCCTGCGCACGAAATGAAACATCTAAGAACAAAGAACCAACCGACAAAAGCAAACAACAAGCAGACACCACAAGGCAACACAACAAAACAAAGAAACTCAACAACACCGAACACACCACCGAAAACCATGACAAAGAAGCAGACAACCATCAAAAGTTCAGACACCCGCCCCCCCCCCCCCGCCCCCAAACAGAATCAAGCAAAACACTTGCCAAGAAAACCACCCGGGGAAGAACCAACAAAACAGATCAACTGAGCTGGTGGCGGTGTTTTTTTGCTTTGTCTGCCTTCTCAGGCCGGCAAGGCAGATGACGACCAGGCGGCCGTGGTTTTCCTGGAGGCCTCGCCCTTTGCAGCGGCCTCAAAATGGGGCAGCGGCTGACACTTCGCCCCCATCTTGTGGAATCCCTAAGGCTCCCAAGGGGAGCCTTAGGGATTCTAGCCATTTTACCCTCATCAGAGGGAAGCAGCTGACTGACATTTCGTCCCCTGCACCACGTGTCTGTTTTTAGAACTTGGACCCCAAAATGGATTTCGGTTTCCTTTTGGCTTCCTTTTGTAAGAACCCCTCCCCCCCCGGAAGAAAAGAAGGAAGAAACGGGTACCCTCCAAACCAGCCCGGACTTTTCTTCATTCACCCAGATTGCCAAGGTTTGAGGGGGTGCAGCTCACTTGCAGGGACCCGGTCACCTTCCGCGTGGTAACTTCCGGGCCGATTCCCTCATGTCAAACGTTTGGATTTGGGTTGCACCCCTGGTTCACTCAGTTGTTCAAAGCGAATCGACCTTTCGACCTTTTGGTTTTCCCATTTTGGGTTCCCATATTTAGTCATGGCAACCCAACAGGTGATCACCTTTTAGTTCCAGGTCCCATCGGGGCAACTGAGTTCTTGTAGCGGGTCCCTAGCCTCCAAACCGCCGGGCTAGGGAAGCTGACTTCGTTTCGGATGCCCTACATTGCGGCAATCACGGGTGGTTTTCGAGCTATGACTGGATAGAAAACCATGGTAAGGGAGCTGGCCCCAGATATGCGCCATTGTAACTTCCCTTCTTACATGGCAGACCAGGGCTTAGACTGGTCTCCACGCCCGTGCGCCGGTACCGCCGCTCTCCTTCGCTCGCTTCGCCAACGAGCTGCGCTGAGGCTGACAAGATCGAGCAGCTCAAGGTGGATGCCACGAAGCGCCAAATTCAGGCGCCGCGAAGCCCGGCGTTGGAAGAAGCCGAGCCCGGGGATTCTGACTTGGGATGCCATTTTTATTTTTTTTGCCAGGGACTCAAAGTGAAGCAAAGAATAAGATATACATTCTATAACTGGTGGCCGAACTCTGATCATGGATCCTTTTTTTGCGCTTTTCGTTGCTTGGTGGCTCGAGCCCAGCCGTCCGGTTCCTCTGCTTTTTTAGATCCTTTTCGTGTTTAGTGGTAGTTTCCATTTGACCCTCTAAAAGTGGAACTTTTAGCAGGGGATTTGAGGGCAGCCCAGGTTTGCGTGGTTTTCGTTCCGTTTTGTGCGAGCAGCTCTGCCAAATTCCGCCCAGGTGTTCAAATCGGGGTGGTGTTCCAAGCATCCACAGAACCAGGGATTCAGATCCAAATCCACCAATTCAGGCTATGAAAAAAATCTCTGGACAAGCGAGCTCGCCCTTCAGCTGTAAAAACAAATCATGACCAAAGTTTGTGTCTTCTCCTCCACACGACTCCAATATTTATCAAACCTGCGGATTGATAGAGGGCAAGCTTGCCTTCAAAGGCAAACGCCTTCCAAATGGGGCAGCACTCTAAACCGACCACTTTGGCTCTTTGATCAAAAAGCCCGCCTTTGATTTCATTGCCGCTTTTCTCCAAACAGCTCATGGGTTGTCCCCTGACAAGGAAATGTTCAAAGCAAATGCAATCACATGCTATATCCCTCCCCGGTCCTGCCCTAACAAAACATAAAACTGGGCCAGACTTAGAACCGGTGGAAGGTTGACTGCTTGGTTGTCAAAGTGGAAGTGAACGAAAACAAACCAAAAGCAAAACGGGTGTGTCTCAAAATAGGGGAACCCAAAAAATGAGCGGTTTCCTTTTGGCGTGCCTTCAAACCCGTACCAAAAAGGGTCAAGCATTTTTTTAAACAAATGAGTGGTGCCCTTTTGGTGTGCCTGCAAACCCGTTCCAGAGGGGTACCCTCAAAAAAAAAAAAAAAAAAAACAGACCCAACACGTTCAGAATCGGCGCGGGTGCGGCTCAGTCAGGAAAACGGAAGAGTCCCGAGGCAACTGGTTACTGCTGGGGAGTAGCTATACCGACGGAATTCAACAGGAACCCCTTATCCCGTTTGCGAAACGGGATCCCTATTTTGAGAAACAGTCATATTGGGTGGTACCCGGGGTTCCCTTCCTGGGTTCTTTGAAAGGGTAGCCAAATGAAGCCACCCGATGTAGCAATGTAGGGGTTCCGATTCCTATTTTGTCAGACCCGCGTGCATGAAATTCGAATCCTTCGAGGCCCTTTTGGCCCACCAGGCGGATCGATGCGTTTGGCATAGGTCCGACCCCTCTGCCACCTAGCTGGCAGCGCAGTTCAAACCAAAAGAGAGCTGCAGGGGGGTGGTGTCTCAAAAGGGGGGACCCCTCAAATGGTTCGTTTTCCTCTCCTTTTAAAGCCTTTACCAACTCCAAAAAAGACAAACCGCTTGTTCCGTGGCCCCTTGGATGGTTTTGCGAGACAAAACACACCAAGGTAAAAAGTCCGACGCTTGAGAAACAAGCTTGACCATATGCTCTCTCTCTCTCTCTCTTTTTTTTCTCTCGCCCTTTGCTAACACAGGAGGTTTTTACCCTGGAAAAGCAAGTTCTTTCCAAAACAGCTGCTAATAAAGGCGAGAATATTTGGAGGGAATGTTCTCTTTGCCAACCAGGGTTGCGAATTCGGCAGATCCTTCTCTCGTGTTCTTTGAGTGAGGAACTCGGTTCTCGGTTGCTCCTGCTTCGAGTTGGCCAAAGCTTGCAGGCTTTGCTCGCAAAGCTGCCAGAGGAGGAGCGCGAATCCTTGAGGCCGGGGTTGGGGGGGGGGGGTCGGTCACCCCACACAAGGCGCCTTCCAGGGAGGGACAATGGGAAGCCCCTTCTGTGCGGCATTTGGACCCTCAAACTACCCAAACTACCATAGATTTGGGGCAATCAGCAGTTTTTCTGGTGGCTCCAGCAACTAGGGATGTGTCACTTGAACCTACTGGAAGGGGGGGGGGGCTTGAAAGATGGTTACCCACCAACACATCTCCACTCGGACTCTTCATAAACTGGGTCATAGTCAACCCGGTAGTAAAATGGTCTCATTTATGGTTGGGATTGTCCCTTACTAACCGTCATCTACCCGGGTTTTTAAATCATGGGGCCGACGTTTCGGGACACACTCGCCCCCTGATCTTGGGCCATCACTTTGCCGGGAGAAACCAACCACCCCTGATTCCATTTTGGGGAGAATCATGGGGGCTGGGGAGAGAGGGGAGTGGAAAGGAGCCAAATGAGCCCTGATTAAGCCCCTACGGCCTCATTTGGGGCTTGGGGCTCCCTCCATCCCTCCCCTCCCAGCCATGAGAAGTCGGGGGCTTCCCTTGGAAGCTTACATCTCGGTTTCCAGGTAAGGGCCAGATAGAACTGTAGACATAGGTGTCCTTTTTAGTACCCAACATGGCTCACACAAGTACAAATGAACCGCCCTTGGAGCATAGGTGTCCTTTTTGGTTGTTTTGCTAAAAGATAGATGGCGATTCCTGGTTGAGCTGGTTGCTTAATCATCTACCAAGGCCCCATCTATTTCCCCTAAAAGGACACCTATGACTGTGGATGGTCGCGAAATCCATTTCGCAGCACCTAAGAATCCACGGGAGCCAGAACCTCTGTGGATATTTGCAGGGCATCATCCGAAACCAGGGTTTCTGAACGGTGGCGCGAAGTGGATTTCGCCCGCAGGGAAAGACAGGGCCCCGTCCCGCGAGAAAGGTTCTTAGAAGTTTTGAGAGCTTCTCACTTTGGCGGGGGATTTCCTTGGGTTTGTTCCTCCGAATTCCCGGAGGGCACGGACTTGACACTAGCGGCACGGCCCAAAGGCTCAGTCCAGGATGGATTTAGTTACGTGCATCACTAATATTGGGTTTTGGACTCTTTTTTTTGGGGGGTTGGGATGGATTTTCCTTGTCTTTTGCCCATCCACTCAGGAAGTGAGATTTAGTTGCAGACCGGGACCCTTTGGTGGACGTGGCTTACCAACATTGGCTCAACAACTTATTTCACATGGTTAGATGTGTCAATTTCACATTGTTACCTTTAAATCTCGGTGTGAGGTGTCCTTTCCAGGGCTCTCCGGTCTTAAAAAATGCTTCGCCGAGAACAAGGCCCCGAGGTCTTGTTCTTGCTTTCGGCCTTCGTTTGATGGCCAAAGCGTTCGCTTGGTTCAGGTGATGAATCTTTCTTTCCCCAGCGACTTGGCGGCAACGGGTTCATGCAGCTCAATCGCCCCTTTTTCTTTGGCAGCCAGAAAGGGAGGTGCGTAATCTCACTCCTGGGTTCTTTGGGCGGTGTTGGTGGTAAACAACAGGAGTTTTTTTAGCCAACCCACTCAGGAAGTGAGCCGGCTTTTTCCCAGACCCTCTATTTAGCTTCCAGCAAACAAGCACCTTCTTGCGCCGCGGCGCACATATAGTTTGGCCCTGCTTTCTTTGGCCGACCGAGGCGTGCCTGCTGCGAGGCAGAGCAGCGCTGTTTCCAACATGATGATTGCATGCTTTAGGTCGAGCTTCACGCTCGCTTTTGTGGACCGGCTGTTTGACAGACTCAGGTTTTGCGGCAGCCGCAGAACAGAAGAATAGCTTGCAAGTTTCCATGGCTCAGACGTCGCCATTTTTTCAGCCAGAAAGCCAGGCCTTTTTCCACTGCCCTTTTGTGTGGTTTTAACCAACGCGCTCAAAGCGATGAGATGGCGTCAGCGACTTCAGCCAGAGAAAAGAGAAAGAGCGCAATGTGCCGCTTATGCAGGCGATGGGACCTTTTGCCACGCAACCTCACTCTACCAATTTGGTTTGCCCCCGGAAATGTCTTGATCATCATTCAGAAGGCTTTCAAACTTTTTTTTGGGTCGTTGGTTTCCCTTTCTTGCCTTTCCTTGTCGTGTTTTGCTTGGGGGTCTCCCCCCCCCAAAAAAAACACAACAACACAAGTCGACAACTCGGTTTCCTTCCGGGTCCGGACTCTTTTTTTTGTCAAAGGGGTTGGCTTTCCCGCCAAGGTGGTCCAGCGCTGCCAAAGCGCGCGGCTGCTGTTGGAGGAGGCGGCGGACCGGTGGGCGGAGGTGGGGCGCGGCCTAGTGCTGCATGCGCCTCGGCGGCAGGTGAAGGGAGGGTTGGGGAAGGGTTTCGGGGGGCTACCTGGGTGTGTCGCTTTTGGACGCCATTGTGGCTCGTGAGTTTTGGAGGGAAACCAGAAAGACTTCGATTTGTTCTCTTTCCTCTTTTTGGGTGGGGAGTGTGCATTTTGTGGGGTCCCTATATACTGTATCCCTTTTTGGGCCAAAGGTGGGGATGAGATTTTAAAGGAGAAATATGGAGAGCCCTGTTTCGGGGAGACGGGGTTGTTGTTTGTTTTTTGTCCGTTCCCTTGCCCAGGTCTCCTTCTCCAAAGGAATCGCCGCTGAGGCGGGGGCCATCGGGGGCCCTTGGTCGCATGGTGCAGCGCTAGGTCCGCTAGGTGGGTGCTTTCGCTGCCACCCTTCTTGACTTTGGTGCTAGGTCCCCCAGCTAGGTGCCCTTTCTCACCCCTTTTTTGGTTGGGAGGGTTACCCTACTAAAATAGACTACGGAAAAAAGTTGGTACCAACTTATTCTATCCTCTCTACTGGAGGACCTAGGGTGCATTTTGCCAAGGGATGTTAGGACTTTTTCTCATTTTTTGCCAACTAATGGGTTTTCCGTATTAAACCACTAAAAGTTAAGCTCACTTATAGCAGGGCTTCGCAGATTTCGCAACAGAGTTGAGTCCGCCAAAGGGAGAAACTTCAAACCTCCAAGCCGGTGCTGCAGGTGTCGTGCGCGTTTTTCACGGTGAACTCTGGCCACATGATAGATCTGACTCTGGCCAACAGAAGTGCAGCACCCTTCATCCATGGATTTTTGCCTGGTGGTTAGTTTACCTCCCCATGTAGTTATAACAACGGCTGGGGAGGTCCTGAAAGCTACTGAAAATATATTCCCTTTTAGCCACCATGAAGAAAGTAATTCTGAGCATGCCACTCGAATAAACACCCAACTTTCCCCATGGGCATCCACCGGAGGGTCGGACATTTGCCCCAGTCGCTTTGGCCTGAGGCTGGCGCGGACAGTGCGGGCCTCGGACAGGAGGTTTACGCGTGGCCTCCGCTCTTGTCACCTCCTCACCCACCTTGTTGGTTTTTTCAGATAGGCCGATTTTCAAGGGGAGCTATAGGGAAGCCTGTCCTGACTGTCTTCCCTGGGTTTCATTGGCTTTGCCCTCTGTGAGGCCTGAGGGTCTTTGGGGATAAACGGGGTTTCCTTTGATTTGCCAAGGGCGCTCGGCTGGGCAAGACATTTGCGTAAGAGCCCTGTGCTGAGAACGCCAACTCAAAGATCCTCTTTTTTTTTTTAAAGTTATTATTCTTATTATTGCTATTATTATTGCCTCCTTTTCACCGGATGTACCACAAGAACCACCAGGTGATTTTTAATAGGGAGCCACCGAACTCAAGTGGTCGGACATGAGCCCCCGCCTAAATTTGATGTCCACCATGGGTCCCCAAGCTCAAAATTCGCAGGGATCAAACAAAACTCCCAGCGCAACGGGGGGGGAAACAGCGGGCGGACGCACAAGCTCCGACCGCGGGGCGCGGAGGTTTTCGGATTCATTCCTGCCAGGCGATGCTGCAGTTTGCGGCTCAGCTTTTCGGCGGCTTTTTCGGCGGCGCGGATCCTTGCAGAGGTCTAGAGGTCTAGAGGTCTTCAGCTTCCCCCGAAGAGGGTGGCTTGGAGATGGTTTGGTGGTGTTTCGGGGTTTCCCATTTAGCCCGTGCAAAAGCCAGGGGTTCAAAACCAAATCCAAGCCACTAATCCAAAACGTGCCTGATTGGTGTCTCTTTTCCAAGAAGCGAAACCCCGGACCACTTAAATGACTGTGCCATTGTGGACTGCTCACTAAACAACTAAGACATGTGTGTGTGTGTGCTGCTTTCTTGAGGGTACCTCTTTTTCCTGGCTAAAACAAAAAGGACTACCAAAATCCATTTTGGGGGGGTCCGATTCTAAAAATCCATGATCTCCAAGTTGCGGGTGGAGATCGTTGGGTGCAGCCAGAATATGGGTGAACCTTGCTGCCCTGCAACCCACATGTGCCCTTGGAATTGCCTTGGGGTTAGCCCTCCCCGATGTTCGGGATACGTAGTTGGGCTTCCTGTTGATCGTTGCCCCCAGCAACAAGTCACCGAGCGCTCTTTGCCTTTTCGGGCTTCCATCCGTACCAACCTTTTTGCGAGTTCTGGCGCAAACTGAGCTCACCCTGACAAAGGTCCATTAGCAACTGGATTGCTATTGGGTTGGATCTTTAGGCTTTAACTTTTTGGTTGAAACCAAGGGCAGAGGGGTCGTTTCAGCAACCAAGGTACTTAGCAGTACTATGGCCTGTGAATCGTACTTTGCGCCTGGGGCCTTCCAATTCACCAGCTCAAAGTCAGAGCTACAGTCGAGTTCTGCTGTTCCCTTCAGGGCGGGGAACCAAAACAAGTCCCCTGGTTTTTGTGGACCATTTCGTGAGTCTCATGCCCCCCCCCCCCCCAATGAACCATGTAGATCAAAAACAAGACAGTATGGGCCTCAAACGGCACCACACCTGACCTTATTGAAATCACTTCGGCCCCATGTCGCGTCCACTTTTGCTCGCGCGCGCTCGACTTCGTCGTTTTTTGCGGTTGAAATATCGGCTTCCAGTAAGATTTTCCTCAATTGGCTTAAGAGTATGTGATATGTTCCCTGTTGGACAGGAAGTCATCACTACCAAATGGAAGTTTTGCGACCCATTTGCTTCATCGAGATGAGGCTCGCTGCCTGCGGCAGGCGGCGAAATCGCTGCTGACGGCGCCGCTGGCTTCCTCAGGCGGCGGTTTTTTGGGCTCTTTGCTGCGCTTCGTTGTGATTTGGGATTGCCCATGTGGCCACAAGTGGCCTTCCCAACACTTTCGTAGACCCAGTCTTCCGGCGAGCCACCAAGCGAGAGTCAGCTTCCGGTCGTTTCGTCAGGCCACTGGCAGGCGGACCACGGGGACTCCGAGTCCGTGGTGAAGCTGTGCCTTCGCGGGGAGGCGATCGATGCCGTGATGCCGTTGCCTTTGCGGGGGCTTCGGTCGGATCCCTCGCAACTGGGATCCAAACGAGACGTCTCCAGAAACCCAGCGAGGTCCCCCAGTGCCCTTTCTCACCAACTTTTTTGGTTGGGAGGGTGCCCCTACTAGACTACAGAAAAAGGAACAAGTTGGTGCCCTTATTCAAACCTCTCTACTGGAGGACCTAGCCAGAGCTCCAGCTCACCCGTCTTTTTTTGTGGCTTCGGCTAATCACTGGGTTAAGGGTTCAAAAACTGTGGGCAAAATCCACTTCACACCAGTCAGATGGTCTGCCCCAGATTTCATAAAACTGCTGCCCGGCGTGGATTTTGTCAGTTTTTTTGCCAATCCTCCCCGCCCGGTATGGTGGACACTTATTTTGCAACCACCTTCCTATTGTTTTGTTAGGGTTCCTGGGTGCAAAATAGACTAAAATAGACCAAGTGACCGTGGCATTCCCCCAGATGTTGTCCATCAGTGAAGGGTCAGGGTTCCAGTGTAGTTTTTGATGTCAACCTGCCCAATATGTTCAATCCGGATAATTTCTCTGAGGGAATCCTTGAGGGGGGTAGGCGTAAGGGGGTTGGAAGTGGAGAGGTTTAGGGTTCCTTGGGTTCCTTTAGTTTTCCTTCGAATTCCTTGGGGAGCCTACCCCCCCTCCCCCTTTGGACCACTCGGACCACTCCCTCTTAAGGATTCCATAGCCATGGTCATTGGTGTGGTTCTAAAGGCACCCAGGCTCAACACTTTTGGAGCGCAGAGCAACCCCTACCTATCAACACCTCTTTGCGAGCCACCCTTGTTTGCCTTTGTGGCTTTCTTTCCTCCATGTCCCCTCTCAACTTACCCTCCCACCAGCTAACACGGAAGTGCACAGACCCTGTAGAAAGACGACTTTCCTCGAAAGCGCCCCTTTTTGCACAAACCCGTGTTAGTTGGTGGGAGGGTAACATTATCACTTCAAGAGATTGTTTGGTGCATTTTGCTTGGCTGTTAGGACTTTAACCACCAAAAGTTATTCACTTTGAGCAGGGCTTCGCAGAGTTCGCGACCGAGGATTCCACGTTAACCTAGGCAGGGACGCAACATGTCTCCTTCCTGCGGGGCCTGACAGGCTCAAAGCCTGCTGGTGGTGCCCCAGGCATCCTTGGTGTGCAAGCTGGAGCTCGGAGACAAGCTCCTCGCCAGGGCGGCAGGCATTTCTGATGTCTTTGCTTGTCTGTTTGTCTGCTTCTTTGTTTGCTTGTGTTGCGCTGTTTTGTTTTGTTTGTCTGCTTGTGTTGTGCTGTTTTGTTTTGTTTTGTTTGCTTGTGTTGTGCTGTTTTGTTTTGTTTTGTTGTGTTGTGTTGTGCTGTTTTGTTTTGTTTTGTTGTGTTGTGTTGTGTCGTGGTGTGTTGTCGTGTTGTGTTGTCGTGTTGTGGTACTTTGTTGTTTTGCTTTGCTTTGTGCTGTTTTGTGCTCTGTTGTGTTGTTTCTTTTGTTGATGTTGTTTTCTTGTGTGTTGTTGGGTTTTGTTTTGTGTTGTTGTGTTGTGCTTTGGTTTGGTTTGCTTGCTTGCTTGCTTGCTTGCTTGTTTGTCTCTCGGTCTGACTGCCTGCCTGCCTGCCTGTTTGGTTGGTTGGCTGGTTTGTTTGATTGGTTGGGTGGGTGTTTGTTTGGGCGTTTGTTTTTTTGAAGGAGCCCTTGTTATGTTTTAAAGGGGGTCCACATGGACAACCACTCTTGTAGAGGCTCCAAATCCCGATGTTTAACAACAAGCAGGAACCCCGTTTATCCCCCTCTTTAAATAGGAACCCAACGGAGGTGGTTGAGCAACAGGCGCCGGGGGTTTTGGCTTAAGCCTTTGGATCTGGCCCATTGCTTGAGGCCTTGGGCAGCGAGGACCTTTTTGTTGGCGCGGGGTGGTTAAAACATCACCCGGGGATCGAGCGACATCCAGGGCTTCCAAGCAATGTGTTATTTTCTTGCATTGAATAAAAACACAAAGAAATAAACCAAAGTCACACATATGTATAGCTAGATCGATAGATAGATAGATAGATATGGACTCCTACCCTGATGCGGAGTGTGATCTCAGGAATCTCAAGTATCATCAGCAGTGCCCACGGGAGACTGCTGCAGCCCTGTGGGCGGACTCAGATCCAGATGTCAGCTAGTACTTTCTGGACTGCATTCATGCGAACTTCGGATAAACTCTGGTGGTTCCCCTTTTGGTATGCGGAAACGATATCTATTTTGGGGTGTTCCTCCTGGGTCCTAAGACTTCGGAGCAGAGGCCTTGTCGCGAGGGTTTATGGTCCGATGGGATTCCGCAAGGGCTAAGCGGTCAAAACACCTGACTGGGGCTTGGGATGGCCCCCCATGACGAAGCGAATCATGACAAAGGCTCTTGCGTAAACAGGGTTTTTGTTTTGGAGGTTCCCTGTTTGGTTTCTCCAACAGTGGCGATCGTTTGAATATAGACGTTAGTCAATGGCAGCTTTTGGAGGAGAAATCCTTGACCCTTGCTGAACATTGCCAAACATCAACTCTTGATGGCTTCTTTTCGCAATGTTGCAAGCCATTTGATTTTCGGTCACACAAACTGTCCCAGCAGTCTATCAGTATCCCCCATGAGGGACATGGACATTTCTCAGAAGCAGAGGGGACTCACGAGTTTTCTCATGCCTTCTTGGGGGAAACTGGGAAGCCCTCCTTTGCAACAAGGGGGGGTTCGCATTTTAAGCAAAGGCCCGAATGGGCAGCAAGGTTTTTCTTTACTTTCCTTGACGCTCTGAACAGAAGAGTCGCCCTTGGTGGTTCCATCTTCCTTGGGCAGAACGCACGGTCAACGGAGCTCGGACCTTCGGGCCCACCCCCCTTTCTCCGACGGACCTGAGAAAGACGCGCAGTGAAGACTGATTCCGACAGCAACTCCCCTTTTAGGAGGAAGAAGCTACCAAGAGGCCAATTTTTCCACACTCAAACGCCCAAGGACTGATTTGATCTTGGTTTCCCACATGTCCACTTTTTGTCATGGCCACAAAAGCTGCTCGCCTTCTATTTCTGGCCCTGAGGTCTACAATCATTGGTTGCAACTCGGGTAGGAGGCAACCACCCCCTAGCCGATACCGCCGTTGGCTCGCAGGGATTGGCTGGAAAAAAACAACCGCCGGATTGAAAAATAGGCTGGACATGATGTTCAAAGGTCCGCTAAGATCGGAATCTGGGGTAAAGGAGTCTGTCCCCGTCATGGAAACACTGGATTAAGCAGAACTCCTGGTTGATTCGGGGTGTGACCGATGCTTGGGGAAACGCTCTCCAAAACGGTTGGATATAAATCCTGCTGATGTCCATGCAAGAATTCGACCGACGAACAACAAGTCTCGCGGAATTCGGAGTCCCATGTTTGCTGCCATCTGCCATTTAGAAAATTGAAGCTGCAAAGGAAACCAATCGCCGCTGCCAGGGGCAGTTCTTAGGTCTTATGTCCCATGGGGTTCCTAGATAAGGAGTGAGCTGAACGCTTGACTTTGGAACCCCACAGGAACGACTCGGCTTTTGCAAAAGGAGGGGGGTTGTTGGGTTGCCTCTCCTATTTTTCAAGATGCACGGCCCAACCGAACCCCTTTGCATTGTTTTCTCTGTGAGGGAAGCAACCACGCACTTGGTCGTTTGCCCCACCACTCGGGTAAATGGGTGGGCAAAATTAAACCAGGATATGGACCGCAGGTTTTAAATCCATGTCACCTTTACCAGGGCAACCCATTTTGGGTTTACCCTATTTTTGACCAGCCGAATCGATAGCATCGCCTTTGGGGGCCCACCGGCCGACCAATTCTCCGGCCCTTCGACGGGATTCGTTGCCATGGCGGAGATGGACGTGAACAGCTTGGCGGTGCAGGCCATCGATAGCTGCCTGCGGCAAAGGCAGCGGATGGGGATAGATGGGCAGGGATGAAGATGAGGTCCATGTGGTCGGTTTGCTTGAAAGCTGGATTTCATTCGGTTTTAGCCTGGTTCTACTCATGAATCCAAACCCAGAAAGGAGCGTCAAACCACGGTGACGGCCACGATCAAGACAATCGTCAAGGCTTAAAGGCATATTAATGTGACACTTTGCAAGGGAATCCTCCACTGACTCGCGCGCAAAGATAATTACGTGTGCAGAGTTTCCATGGCGTTGAGGAGGTTTGGCCCCCCTCGGGCAAACCTTTCTGCTTGATTATATAGCCCACCCGAAAAGGGGGTTCCCTCATTCAGAGAACACGTTTGAAATGCAACCTTTTGGTGGTTCACGCGACGCCAGAGATTACTCATTTCCGTTTCGTCTTATTGAATTTGGTTGTGTTTTTGAGGAGGTCATTTTTGTGGTGGTACTGGGGATGGACGAAATCGATTTCGCACCACCTAGGGACACCATTGTTTGCTGGAAAAAACAGGGCAATCATATCATTCCTAGGTTTCTTGGGTGATGCAGAGTTTCGTCCATCCTCAGTAAGGGGGAACTTTTTGGGGTCCAGTCCGGAAGTGTCCGGTGCATGTTGTCTTTAGCTGTGGTGGCTTTATGTTCATCAGGTGTTTTTTCTTTTTGTACACTGAATACGAAGCATCATCTGAACATATGCTCTGTGGACTGGACGCTTGCCAAAACACGCAGGGTTGGAACCTTTCAGAATATTGAGATGCATTTTGTTCAAGCTTGAGAACCTACCTCGGCACCACCTAGTTGGAGCAACGCAATACCCGCTCTTGGGTTGCGAGTTCACTAGATCCGTCTCTCGGCTCGTGGGTTTAAATGGTTCCCACAGGCTATCGCTCCCCACATTTCGGGGTTCAAGTCTACCGGTGGGGTAGTCTACCTTTGGCTGTGCCCCCCTCCCCCCCAAATAATGTGAACAGCCCACCCCCCACGTACCCCCCCTACAAGGGTGGGGGGATGATAGAGCCACAGGTGACTTGGGGGGACGGAGGGTACCGGGGGCGTCAGCTGGGCCTTGCTGTGTGAAGCGTCTGGCTGCCACTTTCGCAACCATTGCCTGCGCAGTTGCGAGCTTCTCCAAATGGTGGACCGCGCTGTGGGTGTTTCAATGGAAAGCCAAAAGGGAGCCAACAGCCAACCATTTGTAGGGGCACTGTTCGGTTTTTCAGTGAACAAAAGTCCAGGGAACAGGGGCTGGTCTTTGAACGCCTGGTGACTGCTCTCCATCGAGAGGATCGAGCGATCGAGCGATGCTCCAATTCCCGGGCCCGAAGCACCAAAGCCGGGCCGACAGCACGTGCCTCTAAGCTTTCCCATGGCGCGTGTGTTTTGTTGCTGGGCCTTCAGCTTGTAAGGGAACATCAACGGGACCTACTGTTTTTGTTTTTTTTTTGGGAGGGTCACCCTATCTTGACACGCAGGCTTCTTGAATCTACCCAGCCGAACTGTTGGCAGCCATGGCACAAGTGATTACAGTACACTGCGCGCCGTCCGGGAAAGAGGAAGCATTTGAGTTGGAGGCAGACACGACTGTGCGAGAGTTCAAGAGGCAGCTGCACGGTTGGCTGCCCTGTGGAAATGAATCGCAGCGCAACATGAGCTCAGTGGAGGTGGTTGTCGGAGACACGCCCCTATTGAACGACGAGGAGATGGTGTCAGAGGCGATTCCAGGTGCACAGGTGCTGGCTTTCCTCAGCATCAAGCCGGTGAAGTGCACAACTGCCTTATCATCCGGCTGCAAGCGTGAAGATTTGTGCGTAGTGGAAATTACAGCTGCAGCACAGATCGTGCCATTCGCGTTCCAAAACTGCAGGTCTTTGGCCAGCGTGGCCATCCCAAACTCCGTGACTGCGATCAAAAATTCGGCCTTTGCACACTGCAGCTCCTTAAAGAGCGTGGCCATCCCCGACTCCGTGACTGAGATGGGCCGAGGTGTTTTTGAGAATTGCAGCTCCCTGGAGAGCCTGACCATTCCAAGTTCTGTGACAGAGATTCAAGTTGGTGCCTTTGAACATTGCAGCTCATTGACAAGCGTGAGTATTCCCGAAACAGTGACCAAGATTGGACAGCGTGCATTCCGCGGTTGCAGCTCATTGCCAAGCATAACCATTCCCAATTCTGTGACTAAGATCTCGCAGCAAGCCTTTGAAAATTGCAGCTCGCTAGCGAGTGTGACCATCCCTGATGTGACTCGTGTTGGCAAGGGTGCCTTTGCCGGGTGCAACTTTGATTGGGTTGATGAATGCACTGAAGAGTCCGAGGATTCGAGTATCGAGTTCGGCTTGTTTGACGACTTGTTTGATTAGTCTCACAACAATGCTGCAGCGCCTGCGCGCTTGAACCTGGTTCTTCGAGTGGCCTGCGCACGGGCGGCGACAAAGCTTGGATTTCGGATGTTTGGCCGAGCAGGCGTTGGGAAAAGGAGCCCGCTTAGAGTTCAGCACGACATGAACTCAGCTTGGTTTTGCCATTTATTTTACTCCCTGTTTCGTCCTGTTTCAACCGAGGACACGGGTATCTTCCGTCAAGTTAGTCTTGGGATGGGTACTGCGGGCTTAGGCCTGGGAGCGCTTTCCGGTACATCTCGGCACTCTTCAGCTTGCCCCAAACGACATCATCCATTTACCTTCCCCAGAATTCGTCCCCCCCTTCTTTTTTTTGCATTTTTGGGGTTCCCTTTGTTTTCCATCCACTAACCAGGCAAACAAATTTACATATTTTTGTTGCTGGGGTCCTAATTCCAGTCAAGTTACAAAATAGATAATATCTTGGGGGGTCTTTGGTGTCGTGTCAGGCTCGTGAGGGGCACCAAAGTGATGTTCTTCTTCCACCGCCACGCCACGCACAAGGACAAGTTCGGCAGAAGGCATGGGCCGACGTGTTTGGCGTGTGTTGGTTGCTTTTGTTGACTTATTCTTTAGCTCTTTTTTTTCTAGACCCCATGCTTTCAAGGACAGGAAATGAGATGCATCATTTCGCAGTAGAACAGCTTGGTATCATCAGGTCACCTTGAATTGGTGGTTTGGATTGGTGGTTTGGGGATTTGAACCCCTGGCTTTTGTAGAGAGAACGTGGGAAACCGCCGCCTTAAGCCACCAAACCACCAATTGGAGGGAAGCTGGTGTACGCCCTTCCTGTGGCGTTGTTAACCTGCTCGCCTTGGCAAATGCAGCACCCTTAAATGAGAATGTGCCTGGGAAAAGAAATTCATGTTTGGCTAGGGGATTCTTTTTCGCTCCAACCCACATGCCCCTCTTTGCCAGACACAGAAACCATTTAGCTGTGTAACACTACATGAGGAATGAACGCGCCTAGCTGTTGTTTTTGTTTGACCTTGATTTGTTTTGTGTTGGCTTAGCCCTAATTAAACATACTTCTGATTTTCAGCAAGAGGGATGGTGCAAGATACCTGCAGGGCGACGTAGACCTCTAGCTGAGGATCTTTTGGTTTTGGTCTGCGTTCGCCGGTCCCAATTTCCTTTTGGGAGGGTCCGCCTGCCACACAAATTTTCTTCAGGGAATCCGCCGGGGCTTTTGGAATGAACCGGGTGCCTCCAAAAGGAGGCACGGCAATCGGGTAAACTTCTGGAGGTGTGGATGGGTTGGATTTGGATTTGAGGCTTCTGGGCAAGGAACCCCCAGAACTCAATCCAAACCTATACCCAAACGAGGGAAGGTTTAGAAGGGTCATGTCCCACCCCCCACCTGAAGAAAAAACCCACCCCCCAGCCGTCGCAGGTCCTTAGACTTGATGGAGGCCGTGGGGATGACCGCCGACCTGGCGGGGTCCCCGATCCACAAGTCCCCCATCAGGGGGTTGCTACCGTTTCCACCAGCTTCCCAGCCCCTTTTTGTATTTTTCGTGTGTGGGTTCCCGCACTGAACAGGGTGGGCGGTTCCAAAATGGTCAGGGTTTGATTTAGCTCAAGTTGGGGTTTCAAACGTCACCCCTGTGCAAAGGTGAGTTTCCCTTGGTAGGGGTGGTGTGTTAGAAGGGAACCCTGTCTAGTACCGCGCCATGAAAGTTGAAATGGTATATGGTAGAAGGGAGGGCTCACAAAGAGGAGAAAGACGTCCCCTATCTCAGGCCACTGCCATATGCGTGTGTCAATTTTGAGGGTAGTTTGTTTTGTGGTTTTTAAGGGAGCACCCAAACTTCACTGTTCTTTGTTTTTGTTTGATTTTGGGTGGTTCTCTTCATTGCCATTTTGGGGTGTTTTCTCATTTCGAGTCTTTCTCATTTTGAGTCACGCCCATCAGCAGAACCCTCCGGCAGCCGGAGACTAGGCTCGACCATGGGTGAATGGGTGGGCTCCCTTCCTCTCCAAACCCCCAGGTAGCACCCAGATGTCGGAACCCGCAAGTTGTGGCTTTGGTGCGCATTCTGCGTGCTCTCAGAGTGTCGTGCCTAGGCGAGGCATTTCCATCTGCCGGACTTCATTTTCAGCGCCTGGGGCGTCGGTGGAGTTTGGGGGGGGGGAGGTGGGTGGGGTTGGGTCTTTTAGTATATACCCACATCGCTGCCATGCCGTTCCCCTTGTGAAACATTCTTCAGGTGACTCAGTTGAGAGCACGTGGGAAACCACCCCACCACCCCCGAACGTTTCCAGACTTCGTTAACATGCCATCCTTACCCACAAGAAAATTGGGATTCTCAAACTCATTTGGAACATCCCCTCAACTTACCAAGGGAATTGTGGCATGGGCCATGAGGAGGACAATTCACGCATTGCTTCCCCCGCCACGCCATCAGGCGCCATAGCAAATCAGTGAGAAGCTTCGACGCGCCTCGAGTTCGAGTTCTAGTCTTTCCAAAAAGACAAATGGAAGGCACACATGGAATTCCAGGGGCAACCAAAGGCAACCTGTGGCAGCCACCCTCCCTCAACTTCAATTCTATCATTGAGAAGGTTGGCATGTCGGGTACATGCCGACAGCATGTTTAGGCTTTCAGGGTGAAGCGTAAGGTATGAAGGGGAATGACGGGGACGCCTGATGTGGACATAACTCCCCGCCCGCCACTGCAGCCCTCGAACCCATGCCAGATATGCAGCCTAACCAAAGCCTAGCCACCCCAAACCGAGCCTCAGCAGTGGTCTTGATTTCGACTGTTTCTAAGGGGGGTCAAAGTCAGACACTTGGGGTGGTTCCCTTTAAGCTACCACTTGGTGATTTTGGCAATGGCGAAGCCATGATGCCAGCAGGGACTTCAACCTCCGCAAGCCCCGAAACCAACCGGCTGTGGGTCAAAAAGGGGGTACTAAAAATGGGTTGCCCTGGTAAATGGAAAGACCAAAACCTGCTTAAGCCCACCTCTTTGATTTTGACTTACCTCTCAAAAAACACAACTTTTCTCAACTTTTCGGGTAACATGGGCTATATGTCTGTAAAAGATGAACACTTCCCCAGGTTGCTTGGAGTTGTAAGGGGTAAGTTGAGCCAGGCCCAACCCCCGGCGGGTTGTCCCAAGTTCCCAATCGACTTCCCCGAGACTTGAAGGCGGGCTGCCGGAGACCTTCAGCAGCTTCGACTTCACGGGCAGCGGCTTGCTGAGCCTCGAGGAAGCGCGCCTTGGCCTTTCAGGGCTCGAATCCTAGATGGCTGTGGCTGGGAAAGAAAACGGAATTCCAAAATGGAACTCTGGCAAGTGGAGACATGGACCAACACCTGCGGTTTGCCCCTCCTGTTTCATTTTGAGCCATACCCATATGGCCATGGTTCAAAATCACAGTGAACATCCGATTCAATCCCCACTAAAAATAGGTTCTACAATGGGTGGTGAGTTCACCTACCCCAAAATGGGATCGCATTGGTTTTGACCACCACGGCCATATTTCCGTTGGCCCATGAAAGCTGAGTGTCCCTGGGGTGATGTTTCAAGGGGAAATTTGGTTGGAGGCCTGTTTTGCGGGCGTCCTCCGCGGTTTTGGGCTGCAGCAAAAGGGCGGGGTGTCTCTTACCATCGGCTGGGCTGAAATGAATGTTTTCTATTTAACCATCTCGGTTTTTAAGGTGTGTTTTTTCTCCGCTACTTTTGTTTCTTCTTTTTTTTCTCGGGGGACACTTGCCAAACGAGAAAGAGAACGACCCCCATAATCCATCCCGATTTAGTTTCCTTTGAGGGAATCCCCTTCCGGTTCATTCCCAACACCCAGGAGGTCATTCACATGTCATTCACTACTGAACACCAGCAAGAAAACAAGCAACCAAAGCAAATCGTCCGGATCTGATCTTTTGGTTTCTGTTGGTCCGTTTGCTTGGTCATAGCCGCAAAACTTTCTGGCTCCCAGCCATCCCCTTAGCCGTTTAGTGGTAGTTTCGATTTAAGCCACTAAAAGTTAGTTACTTTTAGCCGGGGATCGGAAATCGGGCCGCCCCGAAAAGGTTCTTCCTTCGTTTCTGGGTCCCCCAAAGGCGAGCAGAGCCCACCCAAGGCGCGTCATGGTGAAGAAGACTCTGCTGCAATGGCGCTGGACATTAGCTGGCCCTGCCACCTTCGAGAGCGAGCTGGAAAACCGCACCCTCGAGGCGCAGAAACAAAGAACCGCATTTCTCGCTAGCGAGGCCCTTTCCTTCCCCAGAATGAGTTCCTTTTTTTTTTGTTTGCTTTTTTGGGGTCCCCTTTGTGTTCCACTCACCAGGCAAAACAGATATGTTTTTGCTGGGGTCCTAATTCCAGCTTCCAGGTCCCTCTCTGGGGAGAACTTCTGCTTTTTGGCCATGGGACAACATATTGTATTTTTGGGTTGGCAGCTGAGAAGTTTTTACAGAATTTTGAACATTTTTTTCCGTTTTTTTTTTGTTTGAGGGGGATTTGGCCATGGGACAACATGCTTTAGTTTGGGGGGGGGAGGGTGATGTTGAAAGCTGAAAAGTTGTTTTTTTACGGAATTTTGGTATTTGCCAGAGACAAGATCAGGGCCGAAAAAGCAGATTCTCAGAGGACAGAACTCCGGGCTTGGGTCACTTTCCACTTGGCTCGACAAAATCTCGGGTTGAAAAGCATCACCTTAAGTTCGGCCAACTTGGCATGCGTGCGACTTGGGCCTTCTGCGTCTTGGTGCCTTTGGGCCGCCTTTGGGCCGTTGGGGGGGGGGGGG